TGGTAGAGCGCTAGCCTTGAGCTGAAGAGCTGAGGGACAGCGCCCAGGCCCAGAGTTCAGGCCCCACGACTGACCAAAAAAACAAAACAAAACAAAAACAAAACAAAAAACCCAAACCTTGCTGAGGAAAGCAAGGGGAAAGTGTTCTTTGTCTTGTTGCTTTTTGACAGATCCCAGATAAATAGGAGACTCTGTGTGTGTGTGTTTGTACACACACATATGCCCCAGTACTGGAACTTGAACTCAGTCAGGGCCTCACACTGTCACGTGACTTTTTTTTTTTTTTACTTGCAAGGCCTAGGGTTTGAACTCAGGGCCTGGGTGCTGTCCTTGAGCCTTTTTGTGCTCAAGCCTAGTGCTCTACCACTTGAGCCACAGCACCACTTCTGGCTTTTTTGTATAGTTTATTGGACATAAAAGTCTCACGGGGACTTTTCTGCTTGGACTGGCTTCGAACTGTGATCTTCAGATCTCAACCTCCTATGTAGCTAGGATTACAGGTGTGAGCCACTGGCATTTACAAAGTTTCTAAATTATAAGAACCTGGAGGGCTGGGAAAGTGGCTCAGTGGTAGAGTGCTTGCCTTGTATGCCTGAGGCCCTGAGTTAGATTCCTCAGCACCACATAAGCAAAAAGAAAAAAGCCGGAGGTGGCGCTGTGGCTCAAGTGGTAGAGTGCTAGCCTTGAGCTGAAGAGCTGAGGGACAGCGCCCAGAGTTCAGGTCCCAAGACCGGAGGCAAAAAAAAAAAAAAGAACCTGGAGTTGAGGTGGGCCCGGTAGGGATGGCTTTCCCACAGGGGGATCCTGCGCATATATGACCCTCGGTTTCTTTCTTGTTTTTTGTTGTTGTTGTTGTTTTGTTTTTGTGCTAGTCTTGGGGCCTGAACTCAGGGCCTGGGCGCTCTCCCTGAGCTTTTTTGCTCAAAGCCAGTGTTCTACCACTTAAGCCACACCTCCACTTCCAGGTTTTTGGTGGTTAATTGGAGAAAAGAGCCTCATGGACTCTCCTGCCCCGGCTGGCTTTGAACCATGATCCTCAGATCTCAACCTCTTGAGGAGCTAGGATTACAGGCGTGAGCCACCAGCACCCAGCTTGACATTTTTCTTTCAAAGGAAATGGATCTGATCTTTGCTTGGCCCTGCGCCCTCTGCTTCTCCACCAGATGCCCTGTCTCTGAGACCTCCCAGACCAAACCCTTACGGAGCTCAGCCAAGGACAATGACCTTTAACCACAGGCTCAGTCTGCTACAGCTGCTATAACAGAGCGCCCTAGATTGGCCACTTAAGCCACAGAAATTTATTTTCTCACACTTTTGGAGGCTGGAGGCCCTAGGTCAAGGTTTTGGTGGATTCTGTGTCTGGTGAGGCCTGTCTTCCTGGTTGCAGATGGACCCTATCATAAACATCCTCATAAGGCATTCCTTAGTATATGTGTAAGAGGAGAGATGGAGGGAAAGAACAGACTTGCTGGTGGCTTTAAGGACAGGAATCCTAAGAACCTTCATTCCCTCCATATGGGTCCTGTCTCTTTTCAAGTGTCAGCACGTGAATCTGAGGAGGACCACAAGCATTCAGTAAATGACATTCTGGGCCCCCTAAAATTCACGTCCTTATCACATGCAAAATACATTCATTTCAAGCTGGGCACCTGTGGCTCACGCCTGTAATCCTAGCTATTTAGGAGGCTGAGATCTGAATCTAGTAGTTTGAAGCCAGTCCAGAAGGGAAGTCCATGAGACTCTGTAGAGCAGCAGCCTTGAATGAGAAAGCTTCAAGCCGGTCACCAATGGCTCCACGCCTGTAAACCTCTCAGGAAGCTGAGAATTTAGGTTCGGGGTTCAAAATCAGTCCAGGCAGAAAACTCCATGAGACTCTTTTTTGTGTGTGGGTTTAAAATTTTTTTTTTTTTTGCTGGTCGTGGGGCCTGAACTCTGGGCCTGGGCATTGTGCCTCAGCTCTTCAGCTCCAGGCTAGCACTCTACCACTTGAGCCATAGCGCCACTTCTGGCTTTTTCTGCTTATGTGGTGCTGAGGAATTGAACCCAGAGCCTCATGCGTGCAAGGCAAGCACTCTACCACTAAGCCACCTTCCCAGCCCCCTCCATGAGACTTTTTTTTTTTTTTTTGTCGGTCGTGCTCTACCACTTGAGCTACAGCGCCACTTCCGGTTTTCTGGTGGTTTATTGGAGATAGGAGTCTCACGGTCTCTCCTGCCCAGGCTGGCTTTGAACCGCGATCCTCAGATCTCAGCCTCCTGAGTAGCTAGGATTACAGGCGTGAGCCACCAGCGCCTGGCTCCATGAGACTCTTATCTCCAGTGAACCACCGGAAAACAGAAGTGGCACTGTGGCTCAAAGTGATAGAGCACTAGCCTTGAGCTGAAGAACTCAGAGATAGCACCCAAGCCCAGAGTTTAAGCCCACAACTGACCAAAAAAAAAAAAAAAAAAACTTCAGGGTAGCATCCCAGGCCCTGTGTTCAATTCCTAATACTGGCACCAAAAAAAACCAAAACGACAAACAAAAAACATAAAGAACAACTCCAGCCCACTTCTACCAGCCCAGCTGCAATGTGAAATGAGATCTATTTGCTGGCTCTGGCCTAGGGTCTTTACACTTGGCAGAATGAGTCAACAGTGGTTATATAATAGACCCTGGGATGAGAGATGGAAAAAAAAATATATATATTTTTTGTTTGTTTGTTTTTTGGTTGGTTGTGGGGCTTGAACTCTGGGCCTGGGCGCTGTCCCTCAGCTCTTCAGCTCAAGGCAAGTGCTCTACCACTTGAGCTACAGTGCCACTTCTGGTTTTCTGAGTGGTTTATTGGAGATAAGAGTCTCACGGAGTTTCCTGCCCAGGCTGGCTTTGAACCGTGATCCTCTGATCTCAGCCTCCTGAGTAGCTAGGATTACAGATGTAAGCCACTGGCATCCGGACACACACACATACACACACACACACACACACACACACGCACACGCGCACGCACACGCGCACACACACACACACACACACACACACACCGCTGGACACTCTCTCTCTCTCTCTCTCTAGTAGTTTGTGGGGCTTGAACTCTGGGCCTGGGTGCAGTCCCTGAGCTCTTCAGCTCTACCTAGGAAGCTGAAGTGTCTTCTGTTCTCCCTTAGCTTCCCTGTGAGGCCTGGGCTGCATGTCATGGTGTCTGGCGCAGCTTTGTCTCTAGCATCTTGGCCTCCCGGGAAGGGGTCAGGAGGGGCTGGGCCGGTGGGGGTGGGGAGCTTTGCTGTGCAGTGGGCATTCCCTTCTCTGGATGGGAAGCAGCGTGGCTGCACAGAGGCATGCCGTGGGGGACCCGCTGCCGGGTCAGGATGGGCTCTGCGTGGGGTGGGGGATGAGGGAGCTCTTCACAGACCAAGAAGCCATCACTGCCAGCCTCCCAGGACAGGAACCACCTGCAGGGCCTTGCGGGAGGGAACAGCAGTGATGGCTGACACATTTTTTCCCGTGACGGTTGGTCTATTGATCCGCACTGGGCACTGCTGTGCACCTGTCACTTCTACCTACATGGCAGCCACAGTGTCAGGAAATGCCACGAGTCCCATTTCCCCTGGGATACTGAGGCTCAATGCCACACAGAAGGTATGAATCTGAGGATCACACCTGGGTCTTGTCTGAACCCAGAACCTTCTCCCGTGGCCCCTTGAGAATGAGCGGACATAGAGTGGGCATATGTCAGCCCCTCACACGTGTAAGGCGATAGAAATCTCACTGTGGATAGAAATCTCCCTGGGGTGGCATCTGTGTCACAGTCTCCATGCGTGTTCCCAGTCCTGTCCAGCACGGGCCCTGTGGGCACTGCCTGGTCAGAAGGGGCAGCTGCAGGTATGCGGTGGAGGGAGGGAGGAAGCGACGGGCTCTGGGTCCCAAGGCCTTTCCTGGGCTGAGCTCTGCATCCTGGCATTTCTGTGCATGGCCACTGCCAGGGGCGAGCAGTTTCAGAAGGGGCTGCTGGTGAGTGTGAGGAGCGTGTCCTGAGTTCAAATGTGACCTCATCACTGGGGCATCCTGAGCCCCTTCAGGCCTGTGGAGTCATGGGAATGAAAAGCCACTTGCCCAGTGCAAGGGCCTCTCTGCTGTCACTCACCATCACGTTGTATTTTCTTTTTTTTGGCTCGGTTGTGGGGCTTGAACTCTGGGCCTGGGCGCTGTCCCTGAGCTTTTTCACTCAAGGCTACCGTTCTACCACTTAGAGCCCCAACACCGCTTCTGGTTTTCTGGAGGTTAACTGGAGCTAAGAATCTCAAACACTTTCCTGCCCAGGCTGGCTTTGAATAGCGATCCTCAGATCTCAGCCTCCTGAGTAGCTAGGATTATATTGGCATGAGTCACTGGCACCCGGCTCACATTGCATTTTGTGTCCTTTTTCCCAGGTAGCATGGATTACTGAGTTAGATGTAGAACAAGGTGTTTCCTTTGTTTTGTTTTGTTTTTTTTTTTGGTCGGCAATGGGGCTTGAACTCTGGGCCTGGGCGCTGTCCCTCAGCTCTTCAGCTCAAGGCAAGCACTCTACCACTTGAGCTACAGCGCCACTTCCGGTTTTCTGGTGGTTTATTGGAGATAGGAGTCTCACGGTCTCTCCTGCCCGGGCTGGCTTTGAACCGCGATCCTCAGATCTCAGCCTCCTGAGTAGCTAGGATTACAGGCGTGAGCCACCAGCGCCCGGCTAAGGTGTTTCCTTTGAACTAGAGGGCTCTCAGGAAGTGCTGGTGTAGGAAAAGACAGGTGGCTTCAATACAGCCCTTACCCACCATGCAGACCAGAGTTCAGTGGCCTCAGACATGGAGAGTGGCATTGTGGTCTGACTCATGTGGTCAGTGTAGGCCTCAGAGGTGTCATTACCCTAAAACCCCTCCCCACGAGGGGAGTGGAACAAGTGGATGGGCAAGAACCCCTCGTGCAGCCTGCATGGTGGCGGCCCTCAGGCTCTGCTGCCTGGCTGATGGACTGTGTTCTCTTCCCAGAGACTGATGGAGAGGCAGAAACGGAAGGCGGACATCGAGAAGGGGCTGCAGTTCATTCAGTAAGTGGGTAGGGTGGGACCTGTGACAGCTATGCTTTCTCTGACTTTCCCTTTTCCTGCTGGCCAAACCACTGCTGATCTGGCCGCTGCATGCCGAGGGGTGTGCGGAGGTGGGTGGAGCTAGGAAGGGGCCTGCGAAGCCAGAGACCATGATCTCCACATGCAGCTACTTCCTGACCCTGGTCGCCCTTCATTTCCTCCCTCACCCTACACATCCACACGACGTGCCCTGTGAATTCTCTAGCATGCTATACCCATCTTCTAATAAATCACTTTCTGAGCGCTTATTATCTCTCTGTGCTGGGCATTCATAGTCACATTTATTTATTTTTTGGTCGGTTGTGGGGCTAGAACTCTGGGCCAGGGCACTGTCCCTGAGATCTTCAAAGCTAGCGCTCTACCTTTTGAGCCGCAGCACCACTTACAGTTTTCTGGTGGTTTATTGGAGATAAGAGTCTCACAGACTTTCTTGCCTGGGTTGGCTTTGAACCCCAATCTTCAGATCTCAGCCTCCTGAGTAGCTAGGATTACAGGCGTGAGCCACTGATGCCTGGCCCTTTTTGTGTGTACGTGTTGGTAATGGGGCTTGAACTCAGGGCCAGGGCCTTCGCTACACTTCTGGCCTTTTGGTGGTTAGTTGGAGATAAGAGTCTCAGACGCTGGGTGCTGGTGGCTCACGCCTGTAATTCTAGCTACTCAGGAGGCTGAGATCTGAGGATCACAGTTCAAAGCCAGCTCGGGCAGGAAAGCTTGTGAAGCTCTTATCTCCAATAAATCACTCAGAAAACCAGAAGTGGTGCTGTGGCTCAAGTGGTAGGTGCTTGTGCTCGCCTTGAACTGAAGAGCTGAGGGACGGCACCCAGGCTCAAAGTTCAATCCCCACAACCGAACCTTTTAGACCTTCCTACCTGAGCTAATTTTGAACTGCCATCTTCAGATCTCAAGCTCCTGAGTAGGTAGGTTTAAAGGTGAGCGCCACCAGCGCCCGTTACCCTGGCTAGTTCCTCAGTGTCCACAAGGGGCCAGTTCAACACAGGACTTTGAAGAGCACCAGAATAGGTGAGCTCGCTTTCTTCCACCCACAGCTTTGTGGTTTGGCCACAGGAGAGGACGGGGATGCGGGGTTGATAGCTCCCTGCATGCCTGGCAGGAGAAGGGCAGAGGCTCAGATTGAGGCAGCTCTGTGCACCTGCAGTTATAGATTTGGGTTGGGGAGGGTGGGGTCACTTCTAAAGCCCATATAAGTGTTAATTACCCAAGAGTCTCCCTGCTCCTATTGCTCCACCTACTCCTGTCCCTGACTCCTGCTCCAGGTGCCCTGTGCATCCCCTGCACCTGGCCTCGAGCTACAGCTGGGACCATGGCCAGTCCACCTTGGCCAGCATCTGAGTTTTTTCCTCTTGCTCTTTCCTTTCCTGCCCAGCCATGGCTCCCAGGCCCATGGAACAGTAGATTTGGAGGTTCGCACTCACAGACTGGAATCCTAGGCTGCTGGAGCCAGGAATGGCACTGGTGCCAGTCTGTTCTGTTTCAGCATCAGTTCCTGAGAGAGCCTGACCATCGGGCCCTGGGGAGCACGCATGTGCCTCTGTAAGAACCAGATGACGTGCGTGCTGTCCCCTCACCTGGTGCGCAGGTGACTGAGGTCTGAGTTGGAGGACTCCGTTCCCAGCACAAGCTTAGGCCTGCAGCTCAGCCCTGGGGCTCCACGAGGCTGGAACCCATGGACTCACGCAGACCTGTGTCTGTCTTTTCCTGCTAGGTCAACACTACCCCTAAAACAAGAAGAGTATGAGGTGAGTATCGCTGCTGGAGGAGTGAATGGAGGTGTGGGTGGTGTGTCTGGGGCAGGGGGTGGTAGACCGACACGATCTGCTGAGCCGCCTTGTCACCCTCCTTCACCCAGGCCTTCCTGCTTAAGCTGGTGCAGAACCTGTTCGCTGAGGGCAATGACCTGTTCCGGGAGAAGGACTACAAGCAGGCCCTGGTGCAGTACATGGAGGGGCTGAACGTGGCCGACTACGCCGCCTCTGACCAGGTGTCCCTGCCCCGCGAGCTGCTGTGCAAACTGCATGTCAACAGGGCGGCCTGCTACTTCACCATGGTGAGCCGGCCGCTGCCCGCCAGATCTGCACCCAGAGATCTGTTCCCCACACCCCAGTCCCAGCTGCACAGCAGATGACCTGGAGAGTTGGAAAAGCACAGAGGAGCTGTGTGCAGTTGCAGGCACCTGTAGTCCCAGCTCCTTGAGAAACTAAGACAGAAGGATTGCTTAAATCTGGGACTTTGAAACCCTCTTGGGCAATCTAATAAGACGCTGTCACAAAAAAAGTATGAATTCATAATCAAAACATCTTTAAAAAATGGTACTTCATGTCATTGCTGGTGACTCACGCCTGCAATCCTAGCACTTAATCCTATCTCCAGAGGATGAAGTCTGAGGATCGCAGTGTCAAACCAGCTAGGGCAGGAAAGTCTTAAGATTCTTATTTATCTCCAATTAACCACCCAAGAGCCAGAAATGGAGCTGTGCTTCAAGTGGTAGAACACCAGTCTTAGTGAAAAAAAGCTAAGTGACAGAGCGCCCAGGCTCTGAGTCTAAGTCCCAGGGCCAGCGCTAAAAGAATAATGGTACTAGTGTTCTAGCCCTGCCCTCGATGAGGTAAGTTAGAATCTTGGAGTGACCCTGGGCTGGAAGTCTGAACTTTCTGCTCCTCTCTGCCCCCCCCTCCTCTTTCCCCTCCCTTCCCCTCCCCCTCCCCCTCCTTCTTGCTCCCACTGCTGAGCTGGAGCTTTAGCCATGCTCAAGTCCTGTAGGGGATTCCTGTGAGCACCAAGGGCCTGGGAAGACCCCCACGGACCAGGCTGGGTTGTGGACAAATGAGTGTGCAGGCGTGGGGCGTGGGTCCCTTCACTGCTGTGTGCGCACAGCTAGCTGCCTTCCTGAGTTGTGCTTCCCCAAGGTGCCACTGCTGCCCTCAGTCATGACGTTCTGAGCTGGGGGCACACGAGTGACGAGTGACCAGACTCACCCCTGTCGCTCCTGCAGCGCTTGGCCCAGCGTCTGACCAGACACCCAACACCCTCTGACTCTCCTTTCTCTCCCCATGGTCTCCAGCCTGTCCCTGGGCTGCAAGGGAGGTGGCTGTCCCTCCCTAGGTTTGGGGAGGGAAGGTCACAGGGGTCAGGCTGTGCACTTCTCTCCCACAGGGCATGTATGAGAAATCACTGGAAGACAGCGAAAAGGCACTGGGCCTGGACAGCGAGAACATCCGGGCGCTTTTCCGCAAGGCCCGGGCCCTCAACGAGCTGGGGCGCCATAAGGAGGCCTACGAGTGCAGCAGCCGGTGCTCCCTCGCGCTGCCGCACGTAAGTCCCTGCCGCAAGGCCAGACCCCCCCGCCGCTGAGCCTCGCTTTCTCCCTGTGCCGCACAGAGCTGCAGGGCCCCGTGTGGATGCTGAGCTGGCTCGTGTGCCAGCCACAGCTCGCCTCATCTTTGTAGCAGCCCTGTGACGTCAGGGCTCTCTTTGTCTCCATTTGAAAGGTGATGGTGCACAGACACGAAGAGGAAAGCACAGCAACCAGGGGGCGGCGGAGCTGTGTGTTGAACCCTGGCAGTCTGATTCTCTCCTTTGTGGTCTTGGCCTCCACAGTGAGGATTAAAGGGGTGCTGTAGCTAGGCTTTGGTGGTTCATGCTTCTAATCCTAGCTACTTGGGAAGCTGAGCTCTAAGGCTCTCAGTGCAAAGCTAGCCCAAGTAGGAAAGTCTGTAGGACTCATTTCCAATTAACCACTCAGAAAAAGCCAGAAGTGGCTCTGTGGCTCAAGTGGTAAGAGTGCTAGCCTTGAGCAAAACAGCAGCTCAGGGATAGTGCCCAGGTTCTGAGTTCAAGCCCCGGGACTTGGCATAAAATGGGGGAGGGGGGGTGCTCTATATGCTGGGACTCATGTTGGATTGTCATTGGGTAGGAAATTAACAATGGAAGATGACCAACAGAGAATCTACAAGTTGCCAGAACACCTCAGGGTTGAACACATGTCCTGATTCTCCCATTTATCCTCTTAACAAGTATTTACTGAAACCACCCACATGGGAAAAGCTCTGCTCCTCCGAGGACCCACAGTCCCCAGGACGGGCCTGGGCCTAAGCCTGGCTCCACCCCTCGTGCCCCTGCCCATCAGCTCCTCATCCGTGAAGCGTGTACCTACTCCATGCCTGGGATAATGGCTGTGCACGAGCCTGGAGAAGAAGAGTAAATGGTGCCCAGGAAGGGCCAAGGGAACAGGAGCGGTCAAAGTCCTGGCAGGCTCCGTGGAGGAGGTGGCACTTGAGTAGGGCAGAAAGAGGAAAGAGTAGGGCAGGCAGTGTACAGAGTGGTCAGTGCAGGAGAGCGGGCCAGGATTTGGGTCTTTCCCTGCTAGAAGTGTGCCCTGGGCCATGGTTCAGCCTGCAGGAGGCTGGTGTGCATCCTCCATAATGTATCATGAAGCTATGCTGGGCATAGAATCAGAGAGTCATGCAGGACAATCAGCGCAGTGGCCAGGCAGCATTGTTTAGAACATGTTAGATGATGTTATACTTCTTTCCTGATTCCCATTAGTTCACAAGTCAGAATCTTAGCTGGGTGCTGGTGTCTCATACTTCGCTAAAGCAGTCAGTTATGGTAACATATGCTTGTAGTCCCAGCTACTCAGAAGGCTGAGATAGGAGGATCATTTGAGCCCAAGGGTTTGAGGTCAGCCTGGATAACACTGTAAGACTGTCCCAAAGATAAGTGTATAAAGTGAAATAAAGGGGCTGGGAAGGTAGCTCAGTGGTGGAGTGCTTGCCTTGCATGCCTGAGGCCCTGAGTTCGATTCCTCAGCACCACATAAGCAAAAAGAAAAAAGCCGGAAGTGGAGCTGTGGCTCAAGTGGTAGAGTGCCAGCCTTGAGCTGAAGAGCTGAGGGACAGCGCCCAGGCCCAGAGCTCAGGCCCCACGACCGGACCCAAAAAAAAATAAAATAAAATAAAGTGAAATAAAATGTTACCTTAAGCCGGGTGCCAGTGGCTCACACATATAATCCTAGCTACTCAGGAGGGCGAGATCTAAGATGGTTCAAAACTCACCTGGGCAGGAACATCCATGAGACTCTTTTTTTTTTTTTTTTAAATTTAATTTAATTTTATTTGTGAACATACTGTACAGAGGAGTTACAGTTACATGGGCAGGATAATGCGTATATTTCTTACCAAGCATTGCAGCCTCCTCCTTTGTTTCCCCTTCACATCCCTTCCCAGCCTCCCCCCTTCCCCCCTAATCCCAATCCTTCTCCTTCCCCTCCCTTCCCCCCCGCCATCCAGGAGACTCTTATCTCCAATGAACTATGAGAAAACTGGAAGTGGGTGCTGTGGCTCAAGTGGTAGAGCGCTCACCTTGAGCTGAAGAGCTCAGGGACATTGCCCAGACCCAGAGTTCAAGACCAAAAAAAAAAGTTACTCTTCCCGCAAATAAAAAAGCAACAAAAGCACAAGTTTGTGGTTCCAGCCCACTGCTCGCTAGCTGTGTGTTTTGGAGAGCCCGTGTCACCTCCTGGGACCTCGCTTTCTTGTCCGTGACATGGGGTCACCGTGGCCCTCCTTGCAGGGCTGCACAAAGTGCCTAGGAGGACAACCTAACCCACTGGGTGCTCATGTCTTGCGTCTCCAGGACGAAAGCGTCACTCAGCTGGGTCAGGAGCTGGCTCAGAAGCTCGGGCTGCGGGTGCGGAAGGCATATAAGAGGCCTCGGGTAGGTAGGCTCAGGGCCCTGGGCTTGGGGGGCTGGTGGGGTGAGTGGGGTGGGATGAGGGATGGAGGGAGGGACTGGGCACTGTTGGGAAGCTGGATGAGGAGGCCAGGGCTGGCTGAGAGCAGAGGGAGCAATCGCGGGCGCTCTTCCCTCCCCTCCCCGTTGGCTGAAAGCCCTGGAATGAGCAGCAGGGCCCTGTGGAAGAGGAACAGCGGCGAACACTCCAGTGTACCTTAGACATCAGCTGTTAAAACGCAGTGCTCTCCCTGCCCTGGCTGGTACGACCTGCCTTGGGGATGGCCTGGGTTCCCGCGGGCCTCCTTCAGCTTCGTGTTCTCAAGTCACCCCCGCAGGTGCCCATTTGAAATGTGGGGATCGCGTGGCCTCCTTCACATCCATGCATGCCCATTCGGCCCTCACTCCATGCCTGGAAGCTGCAGGCAGGAAAGCTCTAGAGTCTCTCTGCCAGGACCTTGCGCAAGTTAGTCCCTGGTTCTCCACGTCGGCGCCTGCCTGGGGAAGGTGGAGATCACTGGGCCCGCACAGAGGGCCCTTGGCACGAATATGACAAGAGAACGCTCGAGATGAAAAGCACCATGTGTACTTGAAGGTCATCTCCTGAGGTCACGGGTAGAAGAAGCAAAGACCCATGTGACCCTGGGAGACAGAACAGGTGGAAATGGCAGGCTCAGAGGAGGGAGCCCCACATAGCATGGTGGCCCTCAGCAGCTGGGGCTTCTCTGCTCCTGGATGGCAGGACACTGGGCATCTCTTAAAGTCTTAATCTCTTTTTACTTCTATCCCTGGCAGGAATTGGAAACCTTTTCTCTGCTCAGTAATGGTACTGCGGCTGGTGTGGCAGATCAGGTAGGCAGGGGCCTGGAACCTCAGGCCTTTCTTTGCCCCACACCACCTGTCTCTCTGGGTCACCCATGCATGGTAAGAGCTTTGGCTTTGCCCTCTGGGTATAGACGGCCCCAGGCATTGCAGTGACCTGCTGGTGTGCAGCCTATACACCATACATGGCAATATGCCCGGTCCGAGGCCCTTGGCACATCTTCTACCTGTCCCTCACCACATCCACAGCGGTCTGGGCTGGCCAGTTCACTCTGCCTCAGCGGAGTGGCCCCCACCATGGAGAGGCCAGGCTAGCTCGGCTTTGGCGCAGCGCACACACACATGGGAACATTTCATTGCTGGGTGGTGGCAGGCAACATTTCATTGCTGGGTGGTGGCAGGCAGAGTCCCTAGCGTACTATAGGCCTATGTAGATGCGAAAGAGCGTGCCCACAGGAGTTCTCAGAGCATGAGACAGGCAAGGGTCTTACACGGCTTAGAGTCTGTGTAAGTAGGGCATGTGGTGGACAGAGCGCAAGGAAGACTGGGAGTTGTCAGGACAGACAGCCCTGGAAGCCTGGGTGGAGGGCTTCACAGAGCCAGGAAAGCAGCTTTCAGACAGTAGATGAAAAAGGGGCATTCTGATGCCAGGCACTGGTGGCTCACGCCTATAATCCTGGTTATTCCAGAGGCTGAGATGCGAGGATCGTGATTCAAAGCCAGCCCAGGCAGGAAAGTCTGTGAGACTGATCTCCATGAACCACCTAAAAATGGGAAGTGTTGCTGTGACTCAAAGTGGTAGAGTGCTAGCCTGGAGCAAGATAGCTCAGGTGGCAGTGCCCAGGCCTTGAGTTTAAGCCCAACAAACAAACAAACAAAAGAATGGTATTTTCAGCCAGCAGAAGAGCCTGAGCAGAGACCTGGGGTCAGGAGAGGAACCTGGCCCAGGACATAAACCCAGTTCCTCACCAGAGGGCTTCTGCAGAGGGATCTGCAAGTAGACATGTTGGTCAGGTCCTGAGTTGTACCCTTCATCTCAGGGCCTCAGCTTGCTCATGTTCATGTGGTGGTTGTGAGATTACAGGTAAAAGGCTGCTGGAGAGATGGGTTCCATAAACCCCTATGACTAGCTGAATGTTATCAACAAAGGAGCAGGACTTGCGAATGGCAGACTTAGCTAATGTAGGTGCTGTGGGACAAAATGGAGGCTGGGGCCAGGGCTAAGTACAATGGCGGATGGGATGGGTTGGCTGAGGCCTCTGGTACAGGATGAGTGTTGTTGCTATCATTATGGATGTTTGGCAGAGGATGGCTAACAGGAAGGGTCTGGGCCTTCCTCCTTGGGAGCACAGAGGAGGCCAGGGCCACCTAGAGCCTCGCCAGGGGGGCAGGACTTCTGCTGAACTGTGACGGACCCCAAGAAGAATGGGAGAAAGTCTAGGGGAAAGGAATTACGTGTGCCCTGCATGGCCCAGAGGTGGGGACAAGGCAGGACTCCACCGGTGGTAGATTATAGAGGCTGGGGGCTAAGCGCCTAAGCCAGTTTTCGGATTGCAATTGTAAATGTGTTCAGCTGGGTGCTGGTGGCTCACACCTGTAATCCTAGCTACTCAGGATCTGAGGATTGTGGTTCCAAGCCAGCCTGGGCAAGAAAGTCCTTAAGACTCTTTTTTTTTTTTTGTCAGTCGTGGGGCTTGAACTCTGGGCCTGGACGTTGTCCCTCAGCTCTTCAGCTCAAGGCGAGCTCTCTACCACTTGAGCTACAGCGCCATTTCCGGTTTTCTGGTGGTTTATTGGAGATAGGAGTCTCACGGTCTCTCCTGCCCGTGAGAGACCAGCGCCTGGCGTCCTTGAGACTCTTTATCTTCAATTAACCCGCAGAAAACTAGAAATAGAGCTATGGCTCAAAGTGGTAGAGTGCTGGCTTTGAGCAGAAGAGCTCAGGGGCAGTGCCCAGGCCCTGAGTTCAAGCCCCACAACCAAAAATAAACGTGTTCTGCATCTGTCTAACTAATAGACCCTTAGAAAGCCCTCCCTGTGCGCCAGGCACTGGTCTGAGTGTTTTACCAATGCAAGTCATTTCACCCCACGTGCAGCTGGCGGGGGTGGCTTGCGTGTCCTCACTTAACAATTAAGGAAACAGCCCAGAGGGGTTAGAGATGAAGCCAGGCTGGGAAGCAAGCTCAGATCAAGCTCAGTGGCAGTGGGGTCCTACCTTGGATGACTGCCCCGCCCTTTTTTTTGCCTCCTCGTAGTCTGGGGCTGTAAATGGGGAAGGGTATCATTTTGTCTTGAACTGCAGACTGTATGTGCTGTGTTGCAGAGGGCTCGACAAAACCCTTACCACCTCCCTATGATCTGGACCCTATTCTTTTCCAGGTGGGGAAACTGAGGCCCAGAGGTTATATCCTTTCTCCTGGGCCACTGTTTCCCTGAGGTGCCTCTCTGTGACTGTGTGACCTTTGCACCGCACCTGTGCTTGCCTGAGCCCCGGTTGCATGGGGGCAGTGTCTGGTATCTGCCCTGGGTGCTGGGGTATTCCCCGGGGACTCTTCATCAGCCAGGCTCCAGAGCCACACCCTGCCGTGGTCCTTGCCTGGCTAACACCGCCATGTCCTTCCTTTCCACAGGGAATGTCCAACGGATTCGGATCCATTGATGACATCGAAACAGGTAGCACCCCGAATTATGACAGTAGAGTGGGAACAAGATCTCTGGGAAGGCTGAGCCCCTTACCCCTGTCCAGTCCTGTCCCAGCTCTGCACACAGAGAAGCCTAGAAATGGGATAGAGCACATAGACTCCCTTTCTGGACTAGAGAATTTCCCCAGGCTGTCTCCTGATTCTCACCCCAGGCCCTCTGCCTCTTTCTTTCTTTTTTTTTTTTTTTTAATTTAAATTTATTTGTGAACATACTGTACAGAGGGGTTACAATTACATGGGCAGGATAATGCGTACATTTCTTACCAAGCACTGCAGCCTCCTCCTTTGGTTTACCCTTCCCATCCCTTCCCAGCCTCCCCCCTTCCCCCCAATCCCAATCCTTCTCCTCCCCCCCCCCCCCCCCACCGACGTTGTAAAGCTCGTTTTGGACATGTCAACTTGTACTTCTCATTGTTGCAACAGGTCCACCTGTATCCTTAAACAACTGGTTTTTCCCCATCTCCTCCACAAGTAATACTGACATCAAATATAGTGAAAGCAGGGGTTATACTGTCGGGGAGGGACATACAAAGCAACAAAGAGATAATCTTATAAATACGTTAGAAACACATGCATGAAAGAAAAAAACATTAAAATACATATCTAAGGGTTCATTTTCCTGACATCACATTATCTGACCTTTTCCGCTTGACTCATACATATACTAGATATTGCAAATAAGGGACCTCTGCCTCTTTCTAAGTCTTCCTTTTCCCCTCTCTTCCTCATTAGCTTCCAGGGCATTTGCTTACCCCATAGAAAGATGATGATAATAGATATACAGGCTGAGCCCCGGCCATTGGTGTGATCAAACCATTGGTGTGATCAGACCAATGGGCTCTCTGCCTTGGGCTGTCTTCCCTGACCGCCCCCAAGCCTCTGCCTCTGGGCGGGTGTTTGGCAGTGCCAGGCCCTGGTGGAGCTGGGGAGGAAGGGAAGGTGCTGGCTGATCACCCTGGGCCCTGGGGCTCGCTCTCCACTCCCAGCAAATGGCATCAGGGCAGCTACTGAGCAGCCTTCTCCCCTCCACAGACTGCTATGTGGACCTGCACAGCTCCCCAGCCCTGCTCCCTTCTGCTCCTGCCATGTCTCTGTTTCCTCACATGCTGGACCTCCTGGCCCCTCTGGACAGCAGCGGCAGGGCCATCCCCAGCACCGAGGGCCTGGATGACTTCTCGGATGGGGATGTCTTTGGTCCAGAGCTGGATACCCTCCTGGACTCTCTGGTGAGCCATGTACCACCTCCAGCCCCCTGAGCCCCTTTCCGGCCTAGTGCCTAGTCTCCATGTCATAGTTCAAGAAATAAAGACCTTAGAAGGAAGCCATGGGATGCTGGGATCTGAGGATCTCAGTTCACAGCCAGCCAGGGGCAGGAAAGACTAAGAGACTGTTTAAAGAAAAAAAAAAGGCCAGAAGCTGGCACTGGTGGTTCATGTCTATAATTCTAGGTACTCAGGAGGCTAAGATCTGAGGGTCATGGCTCAAAGCCAGCCCAGGAAAGTCCGTGAGACTCTTATCTCCGATAACTCACCAGAAAACTGAAAGTGGCGCTCTGGCTTAAGCGGTAGAGCACTAGCCTTGAGCAAAAAAAAAAAAAAGCTAGAGGTGGGCTGGAAATGTGGCTCAGTGGTAGAGTGCTGCCTAGCATGCATGAAGCCCTGGCTTCGATTCCTCAGTACCACGTAAACAGAAAATGCTAGAAGTGATGCTGTGGCTCAAGTGGGAGAGTGCTAGCCTTGAGCAAAAGAAGCTCAGGGTCAATGCTCATGCCCTGAGTTCAAGCTCCAGGACTAGCAACAAAAAGAAATCCAGGGCTGGGAAGGTGGCTCAGTGGTAGAGCGCTTGTCTTGCATGCATGAAGCCCTGGGTTCGATTCCTCAGCAGAAAAAGCCGCAAGTGGCGCTGTAGCTCAAGAAGTAGAGCATTAGCCTTGAGCTGAAGAGCTGAGGGAAAGCACCCAGGCCCAGAGTTCAGGCCCCATGACCAACACACACGCACGCACGCACATACACAAGCACACACACACGCACACACACACACTTTAGAACATACACCCAGAAGGATGGGTTCAGGCCCCATGACCAACACACACACACATACACACACACACTTTAGAACATACACCCAGAGGGATGGGTCACCTCACAGGCAGATGGAGAGTAGCTACTGGCTCCCCAGAAAGCTTCATGCTTCATTCTGCCCAAAGCCAGGTAATTCACGTTCTCCCCTGATCCCTGGCTCTGTCCCACCTTGCAGTCTCTGGTCCAGGGCGGTCTGCCTGGCAGTGGTGTGCCCAGTGAGTTGCCCCAGCTGATACCCGTGTTCCCTGGCGGGACCCCGCTGCTGCCCCCCGTGGTGGGCGGCTCCATCCCCGTCTCCAGCCCGCTGCCCCCTGCCTCCTTCGGCCTCGTCATCGATCCCTCCAAGAAGCTGGCTGCCTCAGTCCTGGACACCCTCGACGCCCCAGGCCCCGCGCTGGACCCTCTGGACCTGCTCCCCTACTCAGACACCCGGCTGGAGGCCCTGGATACCTTCGGGTCGGTCCGAGGCTCCCTGGACAAACCTGACTCTTTCATAGGTGAGGCCCTGCTGGGCACATTCTTTCCCCACTGGGCAAAATCCCATCTCCGTGACTTCAGTTCTGACATCTCTTTACTGAAGCCCAGGCCGCCTCCCCATGGGCAGTCCTGAGCAGTGCTCTGACTCTGCTGTGCTCAGCACTGCGGAGATGAGCTTCAGGCTGGATGTGTGCGCGCACACACACGCGCATGCATGCGTGCACTGGTAGTGGGGCTTGAACTCAGTGCTTAGGCACCATCCCCTAGCTTTTTCACTCAAGGCTGGTGCTCTACCACTTGAGCCACACCTCCACGTCTAGCTTTATTTTGGGTGCTTAATTAGAAGTAAGTGTCACATAGCACTTCCCTGTCCAGGCTGGCTTTGAACAGCAATCCTTAGGTTTCAGCTTCCTGAGTTGTTGAGATTATAGGTGTGAGCCACGGCACCTGGCCAGGCTAGGTATCTTGTTCTAGATCAAGCAGCAGAGCTGCAGTAGTTCAGGGCTCCTGTGGCTCAGGCTGGTGATCTCTGCCTAGCTCCCAAGAGCCTTAGAGCCCTAGGTTGGGGGTTCTGTGGAGATGACCCTGAGATTGGGGTCAGGAGGACAAGGCTACTGCTCCCTCAGCCGGAAGCCAGAGAAAAAAACCTGACTCTCTCCAAGTCCTGATGGAGCTGGCTTTTGGCAGTCAGATGTGGCCTGGGCCACTCAGAGCTGGGGGTGGGGCCTGTGGGGTGACATCCTGGAGGGAGGTGTCTGGGCCTGTCAGAGTTTACTGGCAGGGTGGAAGGAGCCAGAGGCATAGGCCCTGCATGATTCAGGGGTAGGCTGCAGCCCTCAGAAGACTCCAGCAAAAGGGTGGCATGTTGCTGGAGAATAGAGAAACAGGGGCAGAGCTGAGGCCCTGGCTGATCAGGACAGGGTCCATGGCTTGGGGGCTTCTCTGAGTTAGAAATGTACAGGGGAAGCTGGGCACCAGTGGCTCCCGCCTGTCATCCTAGCTACTTAGGAGGCTGAGATCTAAGGATCGTGGTTCAAATCCAGCCCAGGCAGGAAAGTCAGTGAGACTCTTATCTCCAATAAACCACCTGAAAACTGGAAGTGGTGCTGTGGCTCAAGTGGTAGAGCACTAGCCTTGAGCCGAAGAGCTGAGGGACAGCGCCCAGGCCCAGAGGTCAAGCCTCAAGACCGACAAAAAAAATAAATAAAAATGCACAGAGGAAGTTCTGGGAAGGCCCCTCATTTCCTCCGTGGCAGGGCTGGTGACCTCTGTATCTTTTCCCTGCCCAGAGGAGACCAACTCACAAGACCACCGCCCCCCAAGCAGTACTCAGAAACCGGCCCCCTCGGTGAGTTATGGGCTGAGCTTCCAGGTACCTCTTTTCTTCTGGAGGAGTGTGTGTGTGGAGGGGAATGGCTTTGAGACGTGGGGGGCGTGAGGGGGTGTGGCTTTGAGACGTGGGGGCGTAGGGGGTGTGGCTTTGAGACGGGGGGGGGGCGTAGGGTGTGGCTTTGAGACATTGGGGGCATGAGGGGGCGTGGCTTTGAGACGGGGGGGGGAGGAGAGGGCGTAGGGTGTGGCTTTGAGACAATGGGGGCATGAGGGGGCGTGGCTTTGGGCCTCTGGTTGGGTCTCAGGGCCAAAGACGAGCCCTGCGGTGAGATGCTATACCCTCCATGAAGGACGCCTCTCAGAGGCCCGAGGTGCTCTCCTCGCCCTTCCTCACCTGCCATGCACTGGCCGGCACACAGGGGATGCTCACTCTGTGTAGAGGAGCACATGGCAGCCCTGCGTTAGTCTACTCTCCAGCTTAACCTGTCCTGGGTTCACCAGCAGTGGACAGGCCGCACCCCGACTTCAGCCCAGACACTAGCCGTGTGGCCCTGGGAAGTCATGGAATCTGGCTGGGACTGGGGGGAGGGCACTGTAAGGCCTCCATGAAGGCCACCGCTGTTTCTCCACTTCATATGGACCTTCCGCTCAAGGAATGTTCTGAACCAGGCTCACTGCTGCCCACCTTCCCCTGCGGGGCCAGGACTCCAGTTCTCGTCCTGATGTTCTGGGTCCTGGACCATAATACAAGGGCTGGGAGGGGGGAGGGAGGCAAAGAGTGCTCTCCATCCCGGGGTACAGCACAGCCCTAGTGGCTCCAGCTGTCACCCCCGGCCCAAGACAGGCACCTCTTCCCCTTCCAGCCGGAGCCCTCCATGCCCAACACCGCCTTGCTCATCAAGAACCCTTTAGCTGCCACCCATGAGTTCAAGCAGGCCTGCCAGCTGTGCTACCCCAAGACAGGTAACCCAACCCACACCTGCTGTAGTGTCAGGAGAGTGAAAGCCCACAGTGAGAGGACCCTCACGTGTCTATGGGGGATCTGGGACAGGAAGGGAAGGGGGCGGGCCTTGGTTAGGGACCTCCCATTATTTCTAGAGAACCATTGAGGTAGGCAGGCTCACCACATGTCTGTGTAGCTCAGGGTTGTTGTGGAAAGGAGGTGGGGGAAGAGACACGCAGGGCCCCCCCGCCCCCGCCTCCAGGAAGAGAATGGCAGGGAAACCTAGAAGCAGGCCAGTTGATTCACCAGTTTCCCCCCTCCATCCGGCCTGCCTGTGGCCACATCCCCCCCCTCCATCCTCCCTGCAGGCCCCAAGGCAGGCGACTATACCTACCGAGAGGGCCTGGAGCACAAATGTAAGCGAGACATCCTACTGGGCCGGCTCCGGAGCTCAGAGGACCAAACCTGGAAGCGGATCCGGCCCCGGCCCACCAAGACCAGCTTTGTGGGCTCCTACTACCTGTGCAAAGGTGGGTGGCCTGCAGTGGGGGCTGGCGCCAGCCAGAGCCCAGTTCCTCCTACACCCTGCCGCCGCTGTGTGGCTGGTTCAGACAGCAGAGCAGAGGTGGTCCTCACCGCCACTGGGGAGGGAGGGGAGAAAGCTGAGGTTTTAGGGCTCATGAGGTCATCAAGGATGAGTTGACATGTCAGGGTGAGCACCTCCTTTCCTGACCAGCTCCACATTTATTTATTTTGTGCTGGTCCTGGGGCTTGAACTCAGGGCCTGGGTGATGTCCCTAAGCTTTCCTGCGCAAGGCTAGACTCTACCACTTGAGCCACAGCTCCACTTTGAGGATTTTGTTTTTTGGTAGTTAATTGGAGTCTCATAGACTTTCCTGCCCAGGCTGGCTTCAAATCATGATCCTCAGATCTCAGCCTCCTGAGTACCTAGGACTCAGAAAGAGGGAAAAGAGGACAGAGGAAAGCAGGCCTCTTCAGGAAAGGAAAGGCTCCAGTGTCTGAGCCTGTTTTCCTCTTTCCAAACTCCCTGGCCTCCTTAGTGATTTATTGAGCCAGGCACCAGTGGCACACACCTGTAATCCTAACCACTCAGGAGACTGAGAGCTGAGGATTGTGGTTTGACAGCAACCCAGGCAGCAAGGTCCATAGACTCTTATCCCAAATTAGCCACCAAAAAGTGGGAAGTGTAGCTATGACTTAAGTGATACAATGCCAGCCTTGAGTAAAAAAGCTAAGAGACAGCATCCAGGCCCTGCATTCAAGTCCCAGTATCAGCACACACACACACACACACACACACACAAATAAATAAAAGAGAGCTGGGCGCCTGGTGGCTCATGCCTGTAATCCTAGCTACTCAGGAGGCTGAGATCTGAGGCTTGTGGTTCAAAGCCAGCCTGGGCAGGAAAGTCTGTGAGACTCTTATCTCCAGTTAACCACCAGAAGTATAGCTCAAGTGGTAGAGTACTGGTCTTGAGGGAAGTTCAGGCCTCAATAATAGTACACGCAAGTGTGTGCACACACAAACACCCCCCCCCCCCAACCTTCATCACCCAATGTTCTCTCCAAGGCCTAGAGAGTAACAAATAATCCTAACCTCTGTCTGTTCAGCTCTTGCCAGCCATGCTGTTAACCACACAATATTCATTTCCTGGTGATAATAATTTTTTAAATCCCTGTTTTAAATCCCTGTTTTCTGTCTACTTCTCCAAAGCCTTTTCTTTTTTTTTGTTAGTTATGGGGCTTGAACTGTAGGCCTGGGCGCTGTCCCTCAGCTCTTCAGCTCAAGAGGAACACTCTACCACTTGAGCGACAGCACCACTTCCGGTTTTCTGGTGGTTTATTGGAGATAAGAATCTCACAGACTTTCCTGCCTAGGCTGGCTTTGAACCGCGATCCTCAGATCTCAGCCTCCTGATTACAGGCGTGAGCCACCAGCACCTGGCCGGCAGAGCCTTTTCTATCCCTCCTCTCTTGCTTGACTTGCATAACGCAGTCTTGAGGGTACCAAGCACATTGACCCAGACCTGGCACCCAGGAAGGCGTCCTCGTAGGAGAGGGTAGCAGTAATTTTGGGATCGTGGGGACACTGTGGGCTGCTGTCCCCGCCTGGCAGAACGTGTGTGCTGTTGCCTCTTTGCAGACATGATTAACAAGCAGGACTGTAAGTACGGAGATAACTGCACCTTCGCCTACCATCAGGAGGAGATCGACGTGTGGACGGAGGAGCGGAAGGGCACCCTAAACCGCGACCTGCTCTTCGACCCACTGGGGGGCGTCAAGCGGGGCAGCCTCACCATCGCCAAGCTCCTCAAGGAGCACCAGGGCATCTTCACCTTCCTCTGTGAGGTACCTGCCCGCCCCCTCCCTCCTCCACGGTGCTTGGACCATCCAAGCACACGTCGGGCTAGGGACGGCCATCATGAGGTTAGCCCTGGAACCCAAGTCCTCAGCCTGAGTCTGCACATCCTTGGACTATCAGAAAGCAAGGCCCTGAGGATCTTCTCCTGCTAGATCGTAGCCAGCCTTGTCATTTTGCAGTGGTGGAAACCGAGGCCAGGAAGAAATAGCGACCCACCCACCTGCTCTTCACAGATAGCTAGTGGTAGGCCTTCTCGTGGCAGCATCAGTACCCAGATGCTGACTCCATGTACCGCTGGTGATCTGGGGCTCAGATTGGTGAGGTAAAGTCCAGGCCTACCTCCAAATGCCAGCCGCCATGTGTGGTCATCTCCAGGTAGCTGAGGAGTTCACTCAGCATTGTCCTTATGGCTGTTGATTTGGGTTCCGAGTGCCTGGCACTGCTGTCCTGAGCCAGACGTCTGGGCTTTGCATTTCACTTCCCAGGTTTGATGTCCCTGTCCTTCTGGCCTGTGTCCTGGTGGTATGCTCCCCAGGAAATGCTCTCCCATGTTTCTTCATCCCTCTCAGTCCCAGCTCTCAGGCCAGTGGCTCCTCCAAGCTACCCCGGACCTTGCTCAGCCTTGGGCGTAAACTTGGCCTGTGGCCCAAGAACAGACAGAACAGTGTCATGTCCATCTTGAGGGAACAAGAGCTTGGGACTGGGCTGCTGCTGAGTTTGGTGCAGTTCAGTCCAGTCCTGATCTTCCCCTAACCCTCAGAGCGGCCGGGAGGCCTGGTGCCAGCTCCCCTCAGGGAGCAGTTGGCACAATTTACCAAACTCCCTTCCCTCCCTCCCTCCCTCCCTCCCTCCCTCCTTTCTCTTCCTTCCTTCCTGCACTGGGGCATAACCTCAGGACCTGGGTGCTGTTCCTTAGCATTTTTTTACATTAGGTTGACATTTTACCACTTGAGCCACAACTCCACTCTGACTTTTTGCTGGTTAATTAGGGATAGGAGTCTCTCAGACTTTCCTGCCAGCCTGGCTTTGAACTATAATCCTCAGATCTCAGCCTGCTAAGTAGCCAGGACTACAGGTGCAAGCCACCAGTTTGAGTTTTCTCTCTCTCTCTCTGTGAGCTGCTCAGAGCACCTTGAGACAGAGCAGGTGTGGCTCTACCCAGTTTATAATTGAGGCTTCAGAGATCCAGCGTCGCCCCTGCCCCAGGCCTTCAGAGTCGTGGGGGTGAGGTTGGGGTGGGTGGGGTGGCCAAGGCTCAGCTCATCCGTGAGCTGGAGCCAGAAACATGAAGGAGGAAGGAGGGGGAATCAGACCCTGGGATTTTCTTCCTCAGCCCCTCACCCCAAGCTTACCAGACACAGCTGTCTCTGCCTGGGATGTCATTTGGGGTTCTAGCCCACCCCCTCCCCAGATGGCATTGCAGGCTGCCAGCCCGTTCCCTCCCCGGGCAGATCTGCTTTGACAGTAAGCCTCGGATCATCAGCAAGGGCACCAAGGATTCACCATCCGTCTGCTCTAACCTGGCTGCCAAGCACAGCTTCTACAACAACAAGTGAGTAGCAGGCTGAGGCCAGGATCAGAGGCTCCCTGGGAGCCGCCCCAAAGGCTGGGCAAGAGCTGAGGGCCAAGAGTGGTGGGGGTCGCCCCTGGGAAGTTCAGGAACCACTCATCGAATAGCTCCTGTATTCCATGCATTGTGGGGATTTCATGGTGTCTGCAGGCGCTTGGGGGAGGAGTCCCTGTTCCTCTTGTACAGGGGAGAATCAGATGGTCAGTGGGTAAATCAGGACCCTGCAGCCCTGTATTCCACACCTGCCCTCCACTCTCCACAGTCATGGCAATGGCAGACAGGGCACGGGGGATGCTGGGTCAGCCCAGCATCCCTGCCTTTGCTCCCTGTTTCCCACCTTGCCTCTGGCCCCAGCATAGGTATCAGAGCCAAGCCCTGGAGTCGGGCAGACCTGGGTTCAAATCCTAGCCTAGCCGTGATCAGATCTGTGTTGGACCAGTAGCTGCTACAACTTTGGGTTTCCTGGCCCAGGAAGAATCTGTCAGCTTGCCTGGCCCTGGGTACTACGGTAGCCTTGTCAGGAAGGTGGGAGGTGCTGGGCCTGGGGTCTGCATTGCGCCCTCTCTCCGCTCCTCCCCACCAGGTGCCTGGTGCACATCGTCCGCTCCACCTCTCTCAAGTACTCCAAGATCCGCCAGTTCCAGGAGCACTTCCAGTTCGACGTGTGCCGCCACGAGGTGCGTTACGGCTGCCTGCGCGAGGACAGCTGTCACTTCGCCCACAGCTTCATCGAGCTCAAGGTCTGGCTGCTGCAGCAGTACTCAGGTGCGGGGCTGGGGGAAGGGAGTGGGGGGGAGTGCGTGGGGGGGAATTCAGAGGAAGGCAGCTCTCAGGGAGCTGACACATCCTAGATAGCCCAGAGGAGACAGGGTATGCTTCAGGGGGCTGCGAGGCCCCGGGAGATCATGGGTCTCTCCCCATCTGGGGCCTGCCACGGGAGAGCAGGTGTGGAAATGGGAAAGGGAGTCCCAACTCAGCTCCACTTGCTGCCTGTGATGGTCAGAAGTCCCTTCTCAGGCTAGGCACCCATGGCTCACGCCTGTAATCCTAGCTACTCAGGAGGCTGAGATCTGAGGATCACAGTTCGAAGCCAGCCCAGGCACTAAGTAACCACCAAAAACCTGAAAGTAGAGCTGTGGTTCAAGTGGCGAAGCGCCAGCTCTGAGCAACAAAGCTAAGGGGCAGCGCCTAGGACCTAAACTGCAGGAGAAGGAGAAGAAGAAGTAAAATCACTTCTCTGCTCTGGGTCCTCCTCTGCTGGTCTGGTTGTTGACCAGTGTTGAGCCCAGTCTCTGCCTCCACACTCTGTACCAGGGGTTTCCTGTCACCTCCTGTACTGGGATTCAGGTATGAACTAGTAGAGACCATTGCTCCAGAGGTCCGTATGCAAAGAGAGATGTAACTGTTTCATCAGAATTAGGAAGCAGGTTTTTCCCTACCGCCTGTCAGAATTGTGTGTGTGTACATGTGCTGTTCTTGTGGCTTGAACTCAGGGCCTCAGCACTGTCCCTGAGCCTTTGTGTTCAAGACTCATGCTCTACCACTTGAGCCACAGCTCCACTTCCTTGGTGGGTCATTGGAGATAGTCTCACAGACTTTCCTGCCCCAGCTGTCTTCAAACCATGTTCCTCAGATCTCAGCCTCCCTAGGAGCTAAAGTTATAGGCAGGAGAGCCGCCAGTGCCTGGCTGTCAGAATTTCCTCAGCGTTTGGGGGAATATAAAATATTATACATGCGATCATCAGTGTCCTCTTAGTGTCAGCGGGGATATATTTTCTGACAGGCATCAGTGTGGCACAGAAATTTAAGGCAGAGCCACAAGCAACCGGAGTGGGATGCAGTGGATGTAGGGGCTTCTCTGAGAGAAAGAAAGGGGCCCGGGGGGGGGGGGGGGCTGGGAAGGTGGCTCAGTGGTAGAGTGCTTGCCTTGCATGCATGAGGCCCTGGGTTCGATTCCTCCCCACTACATAAGCAGAAAAAACCAGAAGTGGCACTGTGGCTCAAATGGTAGAGTGCTAGCCTTGCGCTGAAGAGCTGAGGGACAGCGCCCATACCTAGAGTTCAGCCCCCAACATGGAAAGAAAGAAAAGAAAAGAGAAAAGAAAACAAAGAAAGGAGCCAGGAATGCCTGGGTGGGGGAATAGCAAGGCTGAAGGCCCCGTGTTTAGGAAGAAGAGTGTCCACAGGGTGAAGCAATTAATTGGAGCAGGGACCTTCATATAAGAGATTACAGGCGTGAACCACTGGTGTCCAGCCTCCATGAGACTTTTATCTCCAATAAACCACCAGAAAACCAGAAGTGGTACTGTAGCTCAAGTGGTAGAGCACTAGCCTTGAGCTGAAAAGCTGAGGGACAGCCAGGCCCAGAGTTCAAGCCCCATGACGGACAAGAAAATAATCTCTTCACCATAAGGGAGATAGAGTCATGTACCACATAGTGATGTTTAGCCACAGCAGACCCCACTCAGTGGTTACCTGAGTGTATGGCAGAGCTGAACATCGGGGTAAACCTGCGGTGCTGTAGGCTCTATAGAAGTGCAGCATATGCCAGGAGCCGGTGGCTCACACTTGTAATCCTAGCTACTCAAGCCCAACTAGAAAACTTTTCGAAACCCTATCTCAAAAAAACAAGACAAAGCCAGGTACTGGTGGCTCACACCTGTAATCATTGCTACTGAGGAAGCTGAGATCTGAGGATTGCGTTTCAAAGCCAACCAAGGCAGGAAAGTCCAGTAGACTTATCTCCAATTAGCTACTAAAAAAGCTAGAAGTGGAGCTGTGGTTCGAGTGGTAAGCGTACTAGCCTTGAGCAGCCAAAGCTCAAGGACAGCGCCCAGGCCCTGAGGTCAAGCCCTAGGACTGGCATAAAAACAAACAGGCCGGGAGATGTGGCTCAAGTGGTAAAGTAGCAGCCTAGCAAGCTCAAGACCCTGAGTTCAAACCCCAGAATTGAGGAAAACAAAAATAAAAAACAGATAATGTCAAGGTTAACTTCTAAGTCAGTGTGCCTGGAAGAATGGGCTCCGTGTTCTGAAAAGGGGGCGCTGGAGGAGGAGCAGGCTGGAGGGGGGTCACACTACAGCTCCTCCTCTGTACCTTGAGTTTTACCGTAGGCAGGCCTGGCCTTCCTCTTGGACCTTGGCGGGCACTGGCACCGCACAGGCGTCCTGCCCATTCAGGGTACCTGTGTCGGCCCTCATCCTTTCCAGGCATGACTCACGAAGACATCGTTCAGGAATCCAAGAAATACTGGCAGCAGATGGAAGCACACGCAGGGAAGGCCAGCGGCAGCATGGTAAGGCCCTGGAGCTGGGTCCCCAGCGGCTGTCTCTGTGCTTTGCATATGTACTGGCAAGTGTTAAGACTGGCAAGTGTTAAGACTGGGAAGGTGGCTTCGTGGTAGAGTGCTTGTCTAGCGTGCATGAAGCCCTGGGTTCCATTCCTCAGTACCACAAACACAGAAAAAGCTGGAAGTGGAGCTGTGGCTCAAATGGTAGAGCGCTCGCCATGAGCACAGAGAGGCTCGGGGACAGAGCCCAGGCCTTGAGTTCAAGCCCTAGGACGGGGGAAAAAAAAAAAAAGACTGAAAATTCATGTACATCCTTTTCTGGATTCACAGAAAGTCACGTTAGCATGTTCCGTACTATATTGGCCATGTTTATGTGTGGATGTCTGTCTGTCTGTCTTTTTCTTGGTGCTGTTACTCCAGTTTCAATTCAGGGCCTCACACTCTCAACTTACCTTGCTTGTTCCATACCTCTAGTCTCATACTTAGCTGGTTCATTGGAAATGGAATCTCATAGACTTTTCTGCCCAGGCCTGGCTTTGAATCGTGATCCTCCAGATCTCAGCCTCCCAAGTAACTAGGAGTACAGATGTGAGCCACTGATACCTGACTGTGTGTCTCCTTTTCCTGCATGTAGCTTTGTCCTAGGTGCACATATATGTACACATATACACATGTACATTTATGTTCATAAATATGCACACTTTTTTTCCCTAACCATTGAGAGTAAGTTGCAGATATGCTGTTCTCTTACCCCTGAACACTTCTGTATGTGTCTTAAAAATGGGCCCTGGTGGCTCACACCTGCAGTCCTAGCTACTGTGGCTGCTGAGATCTGAGGATTGCAGTTTGAAGCCAGGCAGTAAAGTCCTTGAGATGCTTATCTCTAATTAACCACTAAAAAGCTGTAGTTCAAGCAGTAGAGCCCTAGACTTGAGCAAAAAAAAGCTCAGAGACAGTACTGAGACCCCAATGTCCAGTGCTAGTATCAGAGCGGGGAGAAGGAAAGAATGGGGGGCGGGGAACACTCATGTAACTACAGTACAGGTAGAGCACCGGGGAATTAGCACTGATACAAGATTATTTATTATTCAGGTTTCATAAATTGTCCTCCGAATTCCAGGAAGTGCACTGCATCTCTGCAGTTTCCTTTAATCTAGAATGGTTCCTCAGTCTCTGTCTTCTGTGACATTACTGTGGTTTTGTAGAAAGGCCATCCGGTGGACTGGGCAATGTTTCCTCATGCCACAGAGACACAGCATGTCCTTAGCTCAGGAAGCACTGTCATTGTCAACGCAGGTTGTCCCATTACTACTGATAACCTGATTCAATGGATAGCTGGATGAAGGTGCCCGGACTGCAGCCATTTCCTTTACTGCAAAGTTTTTGTTTTTTTTTTTTGTCGGCTGTGGGGCTTGAACTCTGGGCCTGGGCACTGTCCCTCAGCTCTTCAGCTCAAGGCGAGCGCTCTACCACTTGAGCTACAGCGCCACTTCCGGTTTTCTGGTGGTTTATTGGAGATAGGAGTAGGAGTCTCACAGTCTCTCCTGCCCGGGCTGGCTTTGAACCGTGATCCTCAGATCTCAGCCTCCTGAGTAGCTAGGATTACAGGCGTGAGCCACCAGCGCCCGGCTCCTCTACTGCAAAGTTATACTTTCTCCTTTGTAATGCATACAGCCTCCTAGGGAGATTTTTTTTTTTCCCCTTTGGTGCCAATCCTAGAGATTGTCTCAGGGCCTGGGCACTATGCCTGAGCTTTTTTGCTCCAGGCCAGTGCTCTACCACTTGAGCCACAGCTCCACCTATAATCCTAGCTACTCAGTAAGCTGAGATCTGAGAATTGTGGTTTGGAGTCAGCCTGGACAGGAAAAGTCCCTGTAAGACTCTTATCTCCAATTAGCCACTCAAAAACGTGAAGTGGCGCTGTGGCTCAAGTGGTAGAGCACTAGCCTTGAGCACAAAGAGGCCCAGAGACAGAGCCCAGGCCCTGAGTTCAAGCCCCACAACTGACAAAAAAAGAGTCACAGATTTTCCTTCCCAGATTGGCTTTGAAACAAGATCCTTAGATCTCAGCCTCCTGAGTAGCTAGGATTACCCGCCTGAGCCACTGGCTCTGGACCTGGGGCGCTATTTCAAGATCATCTTGCTGAATTCAATCTGTTTCCCATTGACTACATGGCCTGTCCTTCCCCATGGTCCTGCTGCATGAGCCATGGCACTTACAAATGGGAAACTGAGGCTTGGGGTATATTGGAGACCTACCTACCCAGGGGCCAATCCCAAGTTCTCTGACATCTTGTCCAGAGTCTGCCCTGCTCCCTCCCCACTTGTGCCATTCCTGCCATCTAGCTCCTTGGTTTCTCATTCATGAAGCCCTGCCTGCCATCCCCACCCAGCATGAGCGAGGCACTCCAGGGCTTGCCCACGCACCAGTGTATGAGGATCTGTTACGGGCAATGCCTGTACCCTATGGCTGTGAGGTCACTGTGACCACCGATGACAGCCAGGACACTGGGCCTGGTCTCAAGGATCGATGGAGCCTCATTCCAGGCCCGGCTCACCCTAAGAGGCCTGCAGTATGGAAGCCATTGATTGTCAGGAGAACCGGGGCGTATAGACCAGCCCATTCCCATGGTCTTGGCCGCCTTGGCAGTCCCAGAGGCTGTGGCTTGTGTAACAAAGTCCTGGGCCTCAGGCCTTGCACCTTCAACCTCCAACAGGGTGGCCCAAGGACACATGGGCCCAGCACCTTTGACCTGCAGATGAAGTTTGTATGTGGCCAGTGCTGGAGGAATGGGCAGGTGGTAGAGCCTGACAAGGACCTCAAATACTGCAGTGCTAAGGCCCGGCATTGGTAAGCGGGCACTGGGCAGGGGCATGCTGGGAGAAGAGGCCAAGACTCAGAGAAACTAAGGCTCTCTGAAGAGGTCATACCACCCCAAGTGGCTTCCTTCTGTGTCCTTCAGTTGGACCAAGGAACGGCGTGTCCTCCTGGTGATGTCCAAGGCCAAGAGGAAATGGGTGTCGGTGAGACCACTGCCGTCCATTCGCAACTTCCCACAGCAATACGACGTAAGCACTGGGGGTGGACGCAGGTGACATGGGCCCTGGAGGCAGGCCTTCCTTCCTGTGCCGAGGACACAGCCCAGCGTTCTCAGCAGATGTCGCTTGTACCCACAGCTTTGTATCCATGCGCAGAATGGCCGCAAGTGCCAGTACGTGGGGAACTGCTCCTTCGCACACAGCCCTGAGGAGAGGGACATGTGGACATTCATGAAGGAGAATAAGAGTGAGTAGCACTGAGCACTGGTGGCTCACGCCTGTCATCCTAGCTACTCAGGAGGCTGAGATCTGAGGATCACAGTTCAAAGCCATCCTTGGTAACACATCTGTGAGTTGGGTTTTTTTCCCCCCCCAGTCCTGGGATTTGAATTCAGGATCCAGACACTGTCCCTGGACTTCTTTTGATCAAGGCTAGCACTCTACCACTTGAGCCATAGCACCACTTCCAGCTTTTTCTGTTTATGTGGTACTGAGAAATCAAACCCAGGGCTTCATGCATGCTAGGCAAACACTCTACCACTAAGCCACACTCCCAGCCTGTCTGTGAGACTCTTGTCTCCAATTAACCACCAGAAAACTGGATGTAGGGCCACGGCTCAAAGTGGTAGAGTGCTAGCCTTGAGCACAAACAGCTCAGGGACAGCGCCCAGGCCTTGAGTTCAAGCCCTATGACCAACCACAATAACTAACTGAATGTCAAGAGTCACCCTGTGTCTCCTCACTGCTAAACAGCCCTTGGCCCCTGCTATGCCTACCGGGCCTTAGCAGCCGTGCCTGCTCCGGGCCGCCTCGAGATCCAAGGCCGGGCAGCTCAGCCGGGCCTGGAGTGCAGCAGGGATCCTGGGAAGATGGCTGAGAAAGCCCCCCTCACCAGCCACTCTGTCCCCTGCCTAGTCCTGGACATGCAGCAGACCTATGACATGTGGCTGAAAAAGCATAACCCAGGGAAGCCCGGGGAAGGGACCCCCATCAGCTCTCGGGAAGGGGAGAAGCAGATCCAGATGCCCACAGACTACGCCGACATTATGGTGAGCAAGCACCCCCATGCCCGAGCTAGGCGGGAACCTGTGCGGGAGGCAGTCTGGAGGGGCCGGGCGGGACAGAGGCGGGGCGGCAGGTACCCACACAGCTGTGCCTGCAGATGGGGTACCACTGCTGGCTCTGCGGCAAGAACAGCAACAGCAAGAAGCAGTGGCAGCAGCACATCCAGTCGGAGAAGCACAAGGAGAAGGTCTTCACGTCCGACAGTGATGCCAGCGGCTGGGCCTATCGCTTTCCTATGGGCGAATTCCGGCTCTGTGACAGGTGCTGAGCGAGGGCGGGCAATGGTGGTTCCTAGGGCCGGAGCTGGTGGGCCTGAGCACCCTGAGCCCAGTGGCTGGTCTGCCTCCCTCTTGGCTTCAGGGTGCATGAGGCCTGCTGTATCGGATGCGAGATCAACCTTGGGGTGAGGGATGGGATTTAAGGTCTGCCTAGATGAGTGTGTGCGTGCATGTGCATGCACGTGCGTGTGTATGCCCTCCCGACTCAGACACTTTGCAGCACTGGGTCAGATCCCAGAGCTCTGGGGCTGCCTGGGTGAGAGGCCTGTTTCAGGGGAAGGCAACTGGTGGGGGCCAGGAAGTCACCGAGCTCGGGTAGTGAGCCCCCTGCTGCCCACATAGGCTCCAGAAGGGCAAAGCCTGCCCGGACGGGGACAAGTGCCGCTGCGCCCACGGACAGGAAGAGCTCAATGAATGGCTGGACCGTCGTGAGGTGCTGAAGCAGAAGCTGGCCAAGGCCCGCAAGGACATGCTTCTGTGTCCACGGGATGATGACTTCGGCAAATACAACTTCCTGCTGCAAGAGGATGGAGACACCGCTGGTGCCACCCCCGAAGCCTCTGCTGCTGCCCCTGCTGCTGCTGCCACCGCTGCCGCTGCTGCCACCACTACCACCACCACCACTGGGGAGTAGGACCAGGTTCAGCCGTGGGCAAAATCCTGAGGTCGGGGGTGGGGGTGGGGACAGAGGGCCTGATGGAAGGGCCAGGGCAGACCACCAGGAGTGCAGGCGGCCTCCCTCACCAGCCACCTGGGGCCCTGTCCATCTTCTCCACCCCCATCGCCCAGGTGCACCTGCTGCAGCCCCAAGTGGTCCCAGGATCCTTTTCCACCCCAGGCTCCCGTGGCCAGGGAGGGAAGAGCCTGGCTGGCCCCTCTGGCTTCAGCCTACAGCTTTAAGTTTGTCTGCTCCTACAGGGGGCCCAAAGCTCAGGGCTGGGGAGCCTGGGGTCCCCACTTGAATCTGCAGCAGGAGGGTCCTTCTCTCCCCCACCTCTTTTTTTTTTGTTCCCCCGCCCCGGGGAGATCCAGACACAACAGAGGGCAGGAAGCCCTGATTAGCTTTAAAATGCAGCCCCACAATGGAGCTTGAGTCCTGGGACCTCGATGTCCACTCTGGTTGGAAGAGAGGAGAGGGGCTGGGCTGGATGATCCCTGGAGCGACTTGGGGTTCCAGGCGCTCTGGGACCACCCCACCCCAGACCTCTTTCTTGCTAGCCACTAGTATAGTATAGATTGTAAATCCTCAGCCTTCAAGAGCCGACTCAGCTCAAACCCCATTTTGTAGAAAAGAAACCTGAGGCCTAGCCTCTGGGGAGGAGCAGTCTGCCCAGGGTCTCTAGCCTCCAGCATGAGGCAGACATGGCATATAAACCACGGCCAAAAGACTCGCGCGTTATGGGCTGGAGTCTGGCTGGCTAGGACCCACGCAGCACCCCTGGGGTCCCTCAGGAGAGCTGGTCGTGGGTGCCAGTGGAAGGACAGTCCCCTTCCAGGGAGAGTTGTCAAGAGTGCACAGCAGAGGTACATCCCATGTCTGTCTGTCTATGCAGGGAGAGGGCAGGGGTGGGCGCCCCACCTCGGGGGTGGGGGGTGGGGGGTGGGGGTCAGGACACTGGAGAGGAAGGAGACTTGACTGTGGGCTTCCTAAGCTACTCTAGGATGGGACGGACACCACCACTCTTTCTTGGGGAATCCAGTAAGATCTTCCCAACCCCAGACATGGATATGCCCATTTGTCCCAGCCCCTTTCTGATCCCCAACCCTGAAGCTGCCTGGGACCTCAGCAGACCCCCAGCCCTTGCCCCCCTCCCCCCCCCCCCCCCCCCGCCCAGACCTCCCACTGTCTGACACGTCTGTGTACGACCCTCTGTCCCACCCCTTCCAAGGGCAGACCCAGCCTTCCCTGGTTCCCAGACATTCCAGAATGCCCCACACTATTGGCACAAGGAGTGGGGCACCCCCAGAAGGAACCAGGAACTAAGGCTGGCAGGGATTAAGACGGAGACTGTGGAATACCCTTGTAATTGCTCCTCCGACAAGGATTGAAGTGACGTGATGACGGGCGCCCGGGGGCGTGGAGAGCCCTGACCCCGCGCCCCCCTCCGCCCAGACTCTCGATAACCGTGGCATGCACCCTTTCCTCTCCCCTGCCCCCCCGCTCCTGCCCCCAGCAGGCCAGCACCCCGAATGTGGGTGCTGCTGGCATGGCTGGGGGGAAGGAGACACCATAGCCAGGGCGGGGGCCGTGCCGTGACTGTGGATGACGCGTGTTCTCCCGACCTGTGGTGTTGCCGTCTGTTGTCACCAGCCTCGTTTTTAGTGTGTATATATGTCGCCCCTGTGATGCATATATACACAGGTATTAAATATATCGCTCTATATAATATTATATATGTGTGTGGTATCCGAGGATTCTAAGGAGGGCTAGAGATAAGGAATTTGGCCAGAAAATGCAGCCATCCTTGTGTTCTTAGGAGGGTTGATGGGGCTCATCTGGCTATTTGTGAGGAGACAGGGAAGGACCGGAGCTGTAATTTGGAGGTGATACGGGCAGGAGGGGTGGTAGAGGCTGCCACACTATCCCCAGATGTCTACCAAGGAGAGAGCCCCAGAGCGCCCCCAGCACGGGAGGGAATATGATTGTCTGTACCCCTGCCAAGGAAAAGGATGAGAATCCTGAGTTGTCATCTTCAGCCTGTTATCTGCCCAGAGGCCTTGGGATTCGGGGCTCTCCAAGTAAGCCAGAGTTGGATTCCCGCTGGGGAGAGGTGACAGTGTGAGGCAGGGAGGGGGACCAGGAGAGGCAGGAAAACAAGCTTAATGGGGATGTAACTATTTCAGATGTGGCCCTTTTAGGGTCCTGGCTTACTTAGATCAGGAACCTGTCACCCACCCTTAGCAGGCAGGGACAAGGTGGCATGGTGGACACGGGGCTGGGGGGGCAGGAGGGGGATGCTGCATTTCTCAGCTAGGCAGTACTCAATTTAATGGTCCTTTTAAAATGTCTGTGTATTAAAAATTTAAGAATACCACACTTTAATATTAAATATCATAAGGTCTAGTATCTTGATAATAATGTAGACGTTTTAATAACAATTTTTGTCCTTCTTAAAATAAAATGAAAGAAACTTGCTTCTTTTAGCCTTTGTTCTAGAAAAATAAGTGTGTGCACTTTGACCCCTGTCCCCAAGGTGTTGCTCCTGTTTCTCGGCACTTGGGCGCAGGGGCATGGTCAGAGCCGGCTGGCACCCGCTTAGCCTCAGGCAGACACTGCAAGGGGGTGAGGAGCAGGGCCAGGTCTGGACACGGAGACACAGCCAACCCGGCTCAGCAGCCCTTCTTGGCAAGGACGAGCTGTGTTCCCAGGTTTCCAGTTTTCCTCATCTTTAAAGGCAAACAGTATAGCCAGGTCCTGATGGTTCACACTTGTAATCCTAGCTACTTGGCAGACTGAACTCAGGAGGCTTGTAGTTAAAGGTCAGGCCAGTCCCCCAAAAAGCTTCCAAGACCCCTTCTCAATCAATACCTGGGAACAGTGGTGCACTCCTGTTGTCCTAGCTCCACAGGAAACTGAGATCTGAAGGATTGTAGTTCCAGGCCAGCCTGGGCAGAAAAGCCCATGAGATTCCATCTCTAAGGAGAGAGGCTGAGTATGGTGATGCACACTTGTTATCCCAGTCCATAGAAGGAAGCAAAACAGGAGGATCACAGTCCAGGCTTGCACATGGGTAGGAAATAAGACCCTCTTGCAAAAATACCCAGTGCAGCTAAGCATCAGTGGTTCATGCCTGCAATCCTAACTATTCAGGTGGCTGGAATCCCAAGGATCATGGTTCAAATCCAGCTTGGGCAGAAAAATCTTCAAGACTCCAAAAAGCTGGTCGGGAGGCATGCATGGTTCAATTGGTGGAGCACTAGCTCAACAAGTAAGCATGAGGTCTTGAGTTCAAACTCTAGTACCACACAAAAAAGTTGGGGGAAAGCTAGTGTATTGGCTTAGGAGTCTTACCTGCTCTGGATTCAGTGTAAGCGCTCACTAGCTTTAAATTAAATAAGTCTAGAGTCTGAATTGCTAGAAGACTGGGAGTTCTTTGAGCCAGGCAGGCAGGATGTACTCGGATGCTCTATGAAGGATGAGGAGCTGGAGCAGCTTTCTCAGGCAGCCTGTTTGCGCTAGGCACTGTGCAGAAAGTTTGTTCATTCTGCCCACAGGCTCTTTATGATTTCTATTCACACTTTATATTGGGGGGGCGGGGTGTGCGGGCAGTGAAGGTTTTGAGGATGGACTTTCATCAAGGAGACAGAAAAAAAGCTCAAGAGCAAAGGTCCTTTCAGGCCTGATGTCCCAGCATTCTCAGCACTGCTAGCTCCCCAGTGAAAAGCCAAAATGACACGGCAAGATAAGTTCACAAAAGCAAAGCGCAATCCTGTCCCCAGGCTGGAGGAAACAGGCTGGGATTGGGTCTTTCTGAAACAGGAAATGAAAGAGATTAAGCAAGCAGGCCTTCCGTGAACCTCACAGGCTGAATTCTCCAGTTCTTGTAAATTCCTTTTTATTCGGGGTTTTGTTTAGCTCAGGTTGGAAAGCACTACCTGAAACCCCACCCCATCTAGATCTCCAAACACATGACTGTTTACTGAAGAAAACTAGCTTGCTTCCAATCTGCAGCCTGCCAGGGAGACGGACTTAAATAGAGTCTTACATCATTATCAGCGTGCACTTACTGTTCTGCGTTTTTTTTCCTCTTAATTTTATTTCACATGTGCAGTTCCCTGTGCCAATGTAAGCTGGATGTTTGAGGGTAGTGGTTGATCTCCAGGCCATCTGGGGGCTCCCAGTGACTGAATGCAGGTCTCTTTCTGGTCTTCCACTCTGTAAGGGCTATGGCGAGCACCATCAAGGAAGGGCACCAGCTCCTCCACTCTGGATTCTGCCACAGGAAGATGCAGGGCCGGCAGGGGCTTGCTGACAGTTCTGGCCCACTCCAGAGAGGGCCAGGAACTGCATTGATATAAGTCCCCACCAGGGAAGCCTGCAGGCCCTCTAACTCCTGGACCTACCCAGTTGATGCCCAGCAGTTAAGTTTGCATCCATCTTTTCTAGTCTTCTTTATTTTGAGACTTAACATCTTATGTGCCCTGCTGGCCAAGGTCAGAGCAAGGCACAGTAAAAGTTCTTAAGCAAGTCTTGCCTGGGTTGGAGCCTCTTGACTGGGATCCCGGTTTCCCTTTAAAACAGGATAGCTGTCAGCATATAAAAGACATATTGTTCCAAGTGGATGGAGGGCAGAGACAATCAGTGAAAACTGAGGGTAAGAAGGATGCATTCAGTGGCCTTGATAAGGGTGCCAGTGAACACAGACCCTCTACAGACCTCTGAGCCCAGAACCCCCAGAGGTGATGATGGTCCCTGAGGACCTGCCCTGCAGCCCACTCCAGATGTTCCCGGCATATACACAGCCTTTCCTTCTTTCTCCACCCACCCTCCGAGGCTGCCCCACTCAGCAGCCCATTCATGTGGTCCCTGACCAACCACTGGTGCTGCTAATCTGGGCACCTTGAGGGTGGGTAGGGCTTGTGAGGGTGGACTGGTGCAGCCTGCAAATTCTCTAAGGTGTTTCCTGGCTGGGTATCTGATTTAGCTTCGAACTCCTCACAGCATCTAACCTGGAGCTAGCTATGTGGTATATTATTCCACTTTTTGTTCTACCATGAAGCACCTGAGACCAGATAGTTAACAAAGAATGGCAATTTCTACCACGTGCTGGTGGTTCACACCTGTAATCCTAGCTACTCAGGAGCCTGGGATCTGAGGATCTCGGTTCAAAGCCAGTTGGGACAGGAAAGGCTGTAAAACTCTTATCTCCAATAAACTACTAGAAAACTGAAAGTGGTGCTGTTGCTCAAGTGGTAGAGCGCTCACCTTGGGCTGAAGAGCTGAGGGACAGCGCCTAGGCCCAGAGTTCAAGCCCCGTGACCAACAAAAATAAAAATAAAAAATTTAAGCCAGCCTAGGTAGAAAAGTTTATAAGGACTCTTAACTACAAAAAGCCAGAAGCAGAGGTGTGGCTCAAGTGGTAGAGCACTACCTTTGAGCAAAAAATCCCAAGGAGAGCCTGAGGCCCTGAGTTGAAGCCACAACACTGGCATAAAATAATAAAAAATAGGCCAGGCTGGAGCTGGAGCTGAGTGGGAGAGTGTTTGCCTGTCTTGCACTGGCCCCCTTGTTGGACCCCCAGTAGTACAATAATAATAACTAGAATTGTATTATTAATTTGGAAAATGAACATAATTTGGGGAGGATTATATAGTGAAAAGGAGACCGGTTAAGAGATGGTTGGCAGGGAGAAACCAGAAGGGCTCCTGGAGTTTTTTTTTTTTTTGTCCTAGTCCTGGAGCTCGAGCTCAGGGCCTAGGCACTACTGTCCCTTAGCTTTTTCACTCAAGGCTAGTACTCTACTACTTTGAACCACAGCTCTTTCTGGCTTTTTGGTAGTTTAACTGGAGATAAAGAGTTTCACAGACTCAGGGCTGGGAAGATGGCTCGGTGATAGAGCACTTGCCTTGCATGCCTGAGGCCCTGGGTTCAATTCCTCAGCACCACATAAGCAAAAAGAAAAAAGCCGGAAGTGACGCTGTGGCTTAAGTGGTAGAGTGCTAGCCGTGAGCTGAAGAGCTGAGGGACAGCGCCCAGGCCCAGAGTTCAGGCCCCACAACCGGACCCAAAAAAAAAAAAGTTTCACAGACTTTCCTGCCTGGCCTGGCTTTGAACCACAATCCTCAGATCCCAGCCTCCGAAGTAGCTAGGAGTATAGG